GGGGGGGGGGCAGCTGGCCTATAGGGGATCTTAACCCTTGACCTTGGGGTTATTAGCACCATGCTCTAACCAAGTGAGCTAACCAGTCAACCCTTTCTAACCTTTAAAAGCAAATTCATCATTGCAAAAAATGTTTCAGAGTAAGATAAAATACAAGCAGAATAATTCTCCAAAGGACGTATTTCTCAGATTTTATAAAGCTATTCACTCATCACCTACTTGCTATGCATTGAGTGCTGGGGTCTTAAAGCTGAAGAAGATACAGCCCCTGCCTTTAGAAACCCCTGAACTGGGAGGGTAGGTAAGAAGTGCGTTCCAACATGTGTCCATAAGATATGCACACCTGTCGTACAGAACCTGCGAGACAGTACAAGCCACGTGCTTGGGGCATCCAGAGCAGGGAGAGGGCCCTTCAAGCTGAGGATGAAGAATGGCTTCAGACTAGAGGTGATGTTTGAGCTGGGTCTTGAAGGGCAGGTTCAGATTTCAATAGACTGATGAGGAGGGAGGGGAGGGCATTTTGTGTGGTCGTTGGCTCATGCCATTGGTATAAGCAGAAGCTTGGAGTTGGGAATACAAAGTGCAAGTTTGGAGAGGATTGGTGGTCTGGCACAGTGTACATGAAGGGCAGTGGAACGAGATACAGCCATTTCTGGAGCTCTCGAATGCCAGGTTTGGAATTATGTTCTCCAGTGGTTTTCACTGGGAAACCTCTGGGGCATTTGGACAGGGGAGTGGATGCAGTGCTCTGGAGGCATGAAGGTAGGAGTGTGAGCAGGATCAGGGCAGGGAGAGACCAGGAGGGGGAGGCGAAGCAGGAGGCCACTGCAAGAGGAGCGAAGGGCCTGGCCTTGGAGTGATGGGAATGGGACAGACAGGTAAGGACGGAATCTGAGAGTGCCGAGGTAGACTTGGTGCCACTTGGAACTGTTAACAAATAGGGGTAGGGCAGGAAGGAGTTTCGGCTGCTGAGGGATTGAGCTATGGTAACTGAGAACAGGCAGTGCCAAGGACCATATGCTACATCTGTCCTTGTTGCTGGATTGTCTGCTGGAACCTGTGGCCATAGAAAAACACCTTTCTTGTTGCTGCCCCAGTGCCTGGCTCTCTCCATTGTCTATCCTCAGTAACAGAATCATCGTGGAAGTTAAGAAATGGGGGCTAGGCTATACCCCCCGACAGAGTAGTGGGAACTTGGGCTGAGGATGGAGCTGCCATAGCGCTGAGGTTGGTGAGGTGTGGGTAGCTGCCACACAGTTGATAAAGCCAGCTAGAGCCAGGAAGTGCTGTCAGACTCAGCCAAGGGGAAAGGTTCAAAGGTTCTCACTTATGTCCTTCTGACTGAAATGTCACTCTGCCACAAAACAAAACAAGACCTGCGGGAATTGAATCGAGGGAAGTGAGGAGCATATGGGTCAGTCTTAGACAGCCTGATCATGGGAACAGGATGATGGGCGGGCCCTCTGCTGAAGTGTGGTTGTTTATTTGAAGCTGCCTGGAGAGACTACTTCTGTTTCCATTTAGACAGTTTAAAAAAAAAAGAAAAGGAACAGGAAAGTCACTTCTTTATGTTCCAGGCACTGAATTAAGTATTTTATTTTACTTTTACTCTTTAATTATACATGTAATATATGAATATATTCTCACTGTAAAAAAAAATAAAAATACAGTACTGGCCAGCCACCAAAAAAAAAAAAAAAACTAGTACAGACCATGCTCATGTCTTCTGTGAGCCTCCCTACACTGTCCTGCTTCCTTTCCTGGGGGCAATTGGCATCATCATTTAGACACACAGGCAATTCACCCTCTGTCACTGCTCCTTTGTAGGGAATACAAGGACAATGCCTTGCTGGCTCAGCTAATCCAGGACAAGCTTGATGCCTATAAAGCTGATGACCCAACAATGGGGGAGGTGAGTCTGGCTTGGACCACGCAGTTCTCTTACGAGGACCACAATATTTGTGTGACAGTCTGGGACAGCTCGGTTCTGTTGCTCACAGGCCATGTGTGAGTGCTGCTTTTCCTGCATATTGGCCTCCAGTGAAATGTCCGAAGCCCTTGGGGCAGGATGATGCAGATGTGTTCAATGTAGCCAGGGTGATTAACTTGTTTCTGTTTGACGGGACTTTCCCAGTTTCAGCACTGAGCGTCCTATATTCTGGGAAACCTCCAGTAGTACAATAATAAGACCAGAAAATTGACATTGGTACAATCTCTGGACCTCATTCAGATCTCACTGGATTTTACATGTACTGTGTGTGTACAGTTCTTTGCAACTTGATACATGTATAGATTCACGTACTCACCACTACAAGCAATTTTAAAACCGAAAGTCCTGGGTGCTGGGAACCCCCTTCAGTCCCAGGCACACTGGGTGGTTGGCCACCCCACCTGTAGCTGAGCCTGGGCTACATAAACTCACTTCAGCCCCTAGTGCAGTTTCAGATCTGCTTCCAAGGGCCCTCATTATGAAATGGAAACATTGGAGTCTCACATGGTAGTTACTGGCGTTCTTGTCAAGCAGCAGGTAGACTACTCAGTGCTGTTTTAGTAGGTTTGCACTTCAGAGTTCACCTCCTTTTACAAGAGGGGTTCTGCTAGTTGGAGAAGCTGGAGTTGTCTGGCAGCTTGTGAAGCATCTCCCTGTTTATTCTCAGGGCCCAGACAAGGCGCGCTCCCAGCTCCTGATCCTGGACCGTGGCTTTGACCCCNGAGAAGTAGACTTACCAAAATGTAGCTCCCTTGCTTAAAACCATTTAGTGACTTCCAGTTCCCTAGAATAAAGCCCTACCACGGACAAGGCCCAGTTGTCAGGCCCCGCAGGCCTCTGTCTGATCTCATCTCTGCCTCCCTCCATCTCACCCCAGCCTTCCTACCCCAGCCATGGCCAGAATTCTCTTGCTTCAGGCCTTGCTGGGTTCTTTGGCTCAGTGATTGTTTCCTCAGGTAAACTTTCCCTGGCCTCCTCCCTAGACTAGTTAGGTGCCTCTGCTAGGTGCACCCACACTACCTGGTGAATCCCCATGACAATCCCTAATCCACTCTATTGCAGTGGGTTATTGGCTCCTCTGCTAGATGTTAAACTCCATAATGCAGAAATTCTTTTTTTTTCTTTGTCCTTGTATCTCCAGCAACTAATAGTGCCTGGTGTGTAGTAGTAATTCAATAAATTTTTGTTGGACAAATGAATGAGATCACATGGATCACACAGTTAGAAAGTAAACAGATCCATCTCACCTGCTGGGATGCCGACTCTAGCCTTCTCTAAGCTTCTCCCTCCTTTCTACCTGTCTACACAACTATAGCTTTTCTGCTGTGATGAAATGCAAACTTGATGCCAAGACTGCTTGATCTAAGGATGCAGAAAAGCAATGTGTAGAAGAAAAATCTTTTTTTCCTCTCGGCAAGAATTATGCTCTCAATAACTTTCTAGTGTAATNCGCGCTCAGCCAGTGAGCGGACCAGTCTCTATATGGGATCCGAACCCTCGGCGGGAGTGCCGTCGCACTCCCAAGCGCCGCACTCAACCGAGTGCGCCACCGGGCCGGCCCCAACTTTCTTTTTTATAGCTGGTATTCAATCTTACTGGCAGGAAAAGTTGCACATATTCCTAAAGGAAGAGTATCGCATGACTTCTGTAGTATCCATAGAGAGGCCCTTGGTGTTGCTGTGAAACTTAGCTGTCCCCTTCTGTCTTCCAGGGAAGTCACCCGGTCTCTGAAAGATTTTTCTTCTAGCAAGAGAATGAACACTGGAGAGAAGGTAAACCCATAACAATGCTCAGATGCCCTGGAAATTGGTCCTTGCCTTCTCTCTAGGAGCAGGAAAGATGCCTTCTCAGTATAAGACTGGTTGGCTAGCGAGGTCGTATTCCTCTGTTCATTTAATATCATTTTGTCTTATTTGTGCATTCAAGATTCAGATCTGAAGCCCACACCTTTTGATATTTATAAAGAGCCACTTTTTGTTACTCTGTAATATTTACTGTTTTGGATTGTGGTTCATTTTAAACCACAGGAACTGTGAGACTGTGGTGGAATTAACCTGACTTACCTAGGTCTGTCCTTATTTATCCTGACTGTGTATCAGAGGTGGCATACCCATCTTGGTTAAGAGAAGTAGACTTACCAAAATGTAGCTCCCTTGCTTAAAACCATTTAGTGACTTCCAGTTC